TCTTATACAGAAGCAGCAAGGGACAGGGGAAATGCATGTAGTCAACAGAATTACTGATAAGCTCAAGCTTATCAGCTAATTGTGTAGTCGTTCACACCCTGACATCCCTACTAAAGAGAGGGAAGGATTGATTAACCCACAACTCTTTAACCATGTAAGATGCATTAGCAGTCTTTAAGATTTGTTTTGATATCTTTTTAAAAGTGATGCTCGAGCTCACACTGAAATTATGTGGTAGCACTTTTTATGTGGCACAGCCCATGAAAGCTCATGATACCACTTACATGTTTTGTTGGTCTATAAAGTGCTACTAGACCTTTTGTTGTTTTTTAAGTTTATCCTATACAGATAACAGTAGCTACCCTCTGAAGCTACTGAAATTATAGTCTTGGTGCAGAAATTGATGCTGTATGACCTGTGTTCTGTAGCAGGAAGCCTTTGTCGACCGCACCATGTCTAGACTGCCGCGCTGTGCTGGATCAGCTGATCATCGGCAAAATGCGGCGGCCATGTTTATTTTAATGAAGCGGGGATTATTTAAATCCCCTCTTCTTTGACTATGCTGAATAAACTAATTTACATGGCTCCGTCGACGGAGCCATGTATTCTAGACACACCCCTGGATTTCATACTTGAAATCTGCTTAAAGACTGGTCATTCAAGTCATTAAGGGATTGTTAGATCTTCATGAAAACATTGCCAGGTACATTAAAGATGTGGGGAGGGGAAGAGTAGCAATGAGTGTTGTGCTGCTGGGATTTGAATTTGGACCAATACTGTTCAACTTTTAAATGTTCTTGTAAAGGGGGTAAATAGGGAGGTGGTAAAAGTTGCTGATATTACAAAATTACTCAAAATAGTTAAGTCCAAACTTGACTGTAAAGCGTTACAAAGGAATCTCACAAAACTGGATGATTGGGCAACACAAGAGCAGATGGAATTCAGTGTTGATAAATGCAAAGTAATGCACCTGGAAAAATGTAATCCCAACTATACAAACAAAAATGATGGGGTCTAAATCAGCTGTTACCACTCAAGAAAGATCTTGGAATCATTGTGAATAGTTCTCTGAAAATATCTGGTATATATGGTCATGCCAATTTTCTTTCACAATTTGATCTGAGGAAGTGGGTCTGGCCCACGAAAGGTCATCACCTAATAAACCATCTTGTTAGTCTTTAAAGTGCTTCATAGTCCTGTCTTTTGTTTCAGCAAGACCAGACTAACACGGCTACATCTCTCTTACTATAGGGCACAGTAGACAGGCAACAGAAATGATCAGAGGGCTATAATCTAGGTTCTTACCTCTCAAAGAATAAAAAGGTACTATCAAAGGGAATTGTTGATAGAGAGTTCATTTTACAGTGCTGAGTCAATAACATTATCCCCATTTTGCAGGCGGGAAGACAGAAGCAGAGGGAAAAGAAGTGACTTGTGATAGATCAGTGATAGAAATGGGAATAGGTCCCCTGACTCCCAAGGCATTGGTCCATGCTGCCTTTGTTAGGTAATTCCTCACCGAAGTCAGTGGTGTATTCGGAATCAAAAACAATGGCAGCGGGAATGACCATTTGTGTGCTGGCATGATGAAGGAGCTGCTGGCTGTCTTAAGCCCACATCATCAGAACTTACTGGATTCATGTGCAAATTCTGAGAAAACTCCTGCAAGAATGACCAAATTGCCTTGATAACTAGAACTTTAGCAATAATTACATAATGATTAAAAGTACTTCCACTGTCATGAATTGTATTCATTTTCATTGGACAATTTTTATTCTTGTAGAGCAGGGATGGGGAACCTAAGACCCGGGGATGAGATGCAGCCCCTGGCTTGCTTAGATCCAGCCTCCAAGGCTGAGGGCTCCCTTCCAGTGTTGGGGAGCCCACACTGTGCTCCAGCCCTCTGCCCCAGGGCTGGAGCACACGTAATCTACTAGCCTGGGCCCCTTTAGGCTCTGGTGTGCGAAGAGATCGTGGGGTGTGTCATTCTCCTTCTCAGTCGGGGACACATCAATGAGGATTCTTTTTTTTGCTTTTCACTTCTGTGTGACCCCTCCCCCTGACTGATTTTTCCATGGATCATCGGGGGCCCCAAGCCAAAAAAGGTTCCCCATCCCGTTGTAGAGTCTTTACAAAAGCCATAATAATAGGCAACAAGCAATCTAGAAAAAAAGAAATACAGGAAGATTACAGGTTCTGGGGCTCAGTAGCTTCTTCCTTTCACATAGCTTGGCTAAGATTGAGAAAGACAGAGGGTATGGTTGTCTTACTCTTATTTCCTTGATTTGTTAAATAATTAAATGGTATGCTAAAATGTATCAAAATGCTTTGGAGGCATATATACCATAAATCTGCAGTACAGAGTTGTCTCTGTCAATTGATGGATGTAGGTCCAAATCCTACCCATGGACAGGTGGGCATCACGCCAGATGAAGTTAGGAGTTGTGTGAGACAAATGTTAGAATATATGGGCTTGTTGTCATTACAGGGTGGATCCCTGCTCCAGTGATTGATCCACCAGTGATTGATTTAGCATATATAGTAAAGACCTAATCAGTTGACTGCCTATAACTCTCCTGTTGACTCCGGTCCTCCAGGGCTGTGTCTAGACTGGCAAATTTTTCGCAAAAGCAGCTGGTTTTGCAGAAAAACTTTCCAGTTGTCTACACTGGCCGCTTGAATTTCCGCAAGAACACTGACTTCCTACTGTCTGAAATCAGTGCTTCTTGCAGAAATACTATGCTGCTCCCGTTCGGGCAAAAGTCCTTTTGTGCAAAACTTTTGCACAAAAGGGCCAGTGTAGACAGCTGAGATTTGTTTTGCGCAAAAAAGCCCCGATCGCGAAAATGGCGATCGGGGCTTTTTTATGGAAAAGCGCGTCTACTTCCACAGAAAGTGATTTCAGCTCTCAGTGATTTCAACTCTTTAGCCACCAATCTGGACACTCTTTTCCACTCTTTTCCGTTAAAAGCATTTGCGGAAAATCATGCCAATCTAGACGCAGCCAGCCTGTTTGTGGTGTTTTCCCCAAGTTAATGCCGTATGACTTCTCTCTCTGTTTCATTAAATGTTTCTTTCTTACACTCAGACTCAGTGTCTTTTGATGTGTAAATACAAGGGACTTTTTCCCGAATGGGAGCACAATAGTATTTCCGCAAGAAGCAGTGATTTCTTACGGTAGGAAGAAAAATCAGCCGCTTTTCTGGAAAAACTTGCCAGCTGTCCACACTGGCCACATGAATTTCCACAAAAGCACTGACTTCCTACTGTAAGAAATCAGTGCTTCTTGCGGAAATACTATGCTGCTCCCGTTCGGGCAAAAGTCCCTTTTGCGCAAAACATTTGCGCAAAAGGGCCAGTGTAGACAGCTGAGATTTGTTTTGTTCAAAAGCGCGTCTAGATTGGCCACGGACGCTTTTCCGCAAAAAGTGCTTTTGCGGAAAAGCGTCCATGCCAATCTAGAAGCTCTTTTCTGAAAATCCTTTTAACAGAAAACTTTTCCGTTAAAAGCATTTCCGGAAAATCATGCAAGTCTAGACGTAGCCTTGTAGTGGGCGCACCCACCCCTCCTTTTAGCTGGCTGATTACAAGCAGCAGTTCAGCCCCTGCTTATATCTGCTTTAACTTTGTAACTAACTCCTTTCTTCTTCCTAATTAATAAATGTTTAGTTATTACAGGAATGGGTGCAAGCGTTGTCTTTGATGAGACCTCTAAGGTACGATTGACTGAGGTAAGTGACTTGCCCTTTGGGGCTGGGAGTAACCTAAATATTGTTGTCATTTTTTGGTGTAAAGGACCATTGCTACAAAGGCAGGCATGTCTGGGTGGCAAGATAACAGTTAATTACTCAACGGAGTATGGAGTGCCCAACAGAGTGTCCATAACACCAATTATCACCATTGCAGCGCTTGAGGACTTCATTCTTGATATTTGGTTTGTGAAGTCTAATTACAGAGCACACAACCAATTTGAAGTGAGTGCTCTAGTTTCTGAAGTCTGCTCTGAGTTTGGCACGCACATTTATGAGCCACTGCAGACAACTAGAAAACATCTCCTTGACTTTGTGATTGTGCATCTTCAAAAGGAAGCCAAATATAATGCTGGCATTTAACAGGGATAGAATTGGAGAATATTGGGATCATGTTGTCACTGTCCTATATCCCCAGATGGAGCCTCAGTACAACCAGGACTTTAATTGTGACTGTGACTGCACTCGAGAGCCAGTGTAATTGATTCCTCTGAAAATCAGATGTGAGACAGGAGAAATGTTTTACATAGTTTCTATGATAAATCTGGAAGATTTTGCTCTCATTAAATCCACTTGCCTTTCCCTAGGATTTTAATTGTTCTGAAAATATTTTGCCACTGAAGGTCGAATACTGGCTGGACAACACTACAGATTCATCCCCTGCACCTCCCCTCAAAGAGGCCTGCATGATGAATGGGTGGGAAAGGAAAAAAACATTAGACTGACACCACATATTAGTCATTTAAGTAGACACTAGGGGGCCGTGCCCCCTGCTTGCTACGCTCACCAACCCCGCTCTCTGGAGGTAGGCAGCCCTGGCTCTCCCCTTGGCCACCAGGAAAGACCAAGCTGAGGCAGGCAGCCCTGGCCTGCCTCCTCTTACCCCCCAGCTTCCAGGTCGAGGTTAGCCTAGCCCCGCCCAGGCTTTCTACCCCTAGGTGCTGGGGGGGGGGGAGGAGGGCTGAGGCCTCACTGGGCCCCACCCTCTGCTCCCAGCCTCTTCAGGGAGGAGGGGGACGGGGCCAAGGCCCTGCCAGGCTCTATGCTCTCCCTCTGGCCTCTGGAAGGAGCAAGGCCGCGGTGTGGTAGCCCCAGCTCTCCCCTTCCTCCCCTGAGCACTGAAGAGCAAGAAGAAGGGAGCGGGGGGGGGGGGGAGGAGGGCTGAGGCCTCACTGGGCCCCACCCTCTGCTCCCAGCCTCTTCAGGGAGGAGGGGGACGGGGCCAAGGCCCTGCCAGGCTCTATGCTCTCCCTCTGGCCTCTGGAAGGAGCAAGGCCGCGGTGTGGTAGCCCCAGCTCTCCCCTTCCTCCCCTGAGCACTGAAGAGCAAGAAGAAGGGAGTCGGCGGTGCAGCAGCCCCAGCTTCACAGCACTGGGGAAAGAGGAGGGGGAGGAAAGGAGGGAGGGGGGAGGCAGGTGGGATGCAGAGTTACATGATGATGTAATTCTGTCATCCCGCAGGAAGAACATTTTTTATATATGGACAACGTGGTGAATGTGTTTTGCTATTTGTTTTCCAAATTACAGAAATGCTAGGCCCATGGTGAAGGGGAAACGGACCATACGAGTTGCCATACTGCATCAGACCAGAGGGCTATCGAGCCCAGTGTCCTGTCTGCCAACAGTGGAGGATGCCAGATCCCCCTTAGGGAATGAACAGAACAGGTAATCCTCACGTGATCCTTCTCCTCTCATCCATTTCCAGCCTCTGACAAATGGAGGCGAGGGACACCATCCCCATCCATCTTCATTTCTGCTTTTGTTTTTCAGAAGCATCAAGGTGTTTCAGTTTATGGAAAGAAGGATACATTGTGAAGATGAATCTTGGGGTGGAACTGTGCTGGCAAGAATCAACTTAGCTCTCTGTTGTGATCTATTTATAAATCCATCACTGGCTTCCATTGCCCACTGGGAAGTGTCCATTCTTCTAGTAGTCCCAGTGGGTGCTCCTCTATCGGTGTGTCTGCATCCCCACACCTCTGATCAACCTGAGCACCCGCAGTGGGACACATCTTGCAGGGCCATTGTTGCTGCACCATGTGAGTAACTTCTTTTTCTTCCAGTGACACGAATTACCTGTGTAAGTCTCAGTAACGGATGGTTTATTCCCCACAGAGCCAAAATACAACAGATCCAGAGAATACATCACTGGTAGGTGGCTATTACTGTATGAATTTGAATTGCATATGTTTTGAGCTTGCCTAATTCTTTAAAAATCCCATCTGAGTTGCTTGTTCTGCTGCTCTGGGTTGTTTAATGTAGTTATTATTTATGATTTGCTTTATCATAATCACTATGAGCCCTAGTCATGAAGAAGGGCTGCACTGTGCTAGGAGCTGTACAAAACAGAACTAAAAGACAGTCCTTGCTCCAAAGAGCTTATGATCTAAGTCGGGGTGGGCAAAAGGACTTCTGGGGGCTGGCTGCAGCCTGCAGACACCCTGCTTCTCCCCCGCCCCCAGGCCAATTGGGGGTGGGGGAGCGCCCAAAGCCTTCCCTGCTCTGCCCCTGCCCTGCAAGCAGCGCACGGCGCTTCAAAGCGCTGCGCGCTGGTAACAGGGTGGGGGCAGAGCAGAGAAGGCTTTGCGCATTCCCCCTATCCACAGGCCTTAATTGGCTGGGGAGCACGTGAAGCTTCCTCCTGCCCTGCCAGGAACACATGGCACTTGAAGCGCCACATGCTGCTCACAAGGCGGAGGGGAGAGTGGAGGGGGCTTCGCATGCTCCCCCAAGCCATTCAGGACCTGGGGGTGGGGGAGCTTCGTGAAACTTCCTTTGCCCTGCCGTGGCTCTGCACGGAACGTGCAGCACTTCAAAGTGCCACATGCTCCTTGCAGAGCAGAAGGAGGCTTCCCGTGCTCCCCTGCCCCCAGACCCTGATTGGCCTAGGGGTGGGGGAGAGTACCAAGCCTCTTCCAGGGCATGAGTGCCTGGTGGGAAGGGGGGGCAAAGAAGCTCCCCCACCCCCGGACCAATCATGGTCCAAGGGTGGGGTAGCCCCGCCCCTTCCTATTTAAGACCTGCCCCTTCCAGGGTGACCTGGGGCTACTTCAAAAATTTTTGAAGTGGCACCCGGGCAAAAATTATTGCCCACCCCTGATGTAAGTTCATATTAACTACTTGGTGGCCTACTGAAACCAGTCATTTTTATAGAGATGCAGCTTATACCATCCCCTCTGAGAACAGTACGTTAGTTCAGTGGTTCCCAACCTTTTTTATACCAGGGACCAGCAAACCCATTCACAAACTTTTGGCAGACCAGTAATATTTTATTTGCATATTTTCATATTCATTATGCAAATAAAGTGTTACCGGTCTGACAAAAGTTTGTGAATGGATTTGCCAGTCCCCAGTATAAAAGGCCCCAACCCCCAGAGGCCCTAGTTCCAGTCCTAATCCCTAGAGCCCCTCACCCCTCCACTATCTCCAGAGCCTGCCTCTGACCCTTGAGTCCCCTGCACCCAACCCCCCCAGTGCCAGCCTCACACCCTCAGAGTCCCCTAGTGCCAGACCCCCTGCCCCAAACACCTCAGTTGCATCAACTGTTTCCAGAGCCCCACTGCACCCAATCCCCCCATCTCCCCCACCATGCCAGCCCCCAGTCCCCAATATTTGCCCTGTCCCCAGTGCCAGCCCTTCCCCCCCCACTCCTAGCCCCAACCCCAGAGTCCCCCAGTGCCAGCTCCCCATCCTAGATGTCACAGTGCCCCTCAGCGTCAACTCCCCCCCCAGCGTCCCCAGTGCCAGCCCTTCCCCCCCACTACTAGCCCCAACCCCAGAGTCCCCCAGTGCCAGCTCCCCATCCTAGATGTCACAGTGCCCTCCAGTGTCAACTCCCCCCCCAGAGCCACCCATGTCTGCCCCACCTCCCTCATCTAGCCCTGCCGCTGCCTCCCAGCCTCCAGCTAAGCACAGAGTGTTTCCTTGTGTCGGGAGGGCTGCGTGGAGCCCACAGTGTGTCTGCTCCCTGCTGAGCATTGTGGCAGCAGGGTTCCATGCAGCACTTGATCCTAGCTGAGCACTGTGGCAGCCAGGCTCCACATGGCACTTGGCCCCAGCCAAAAGCTGCAGCTACCCATCACACGGCCCCACCCAGGCAGCAGCCACTGGAGCTGGAACTCAGGCCATGGTGATGCTGCCTTAGTAGGGACAGCCTCACTGTGGCCCCGGCTCCAGCCGCAGCACACCCTGCTGCTGCATGGGCAGGCTCATTAGCATCTTAGGGCATAGCCTGGCAGTGTGCCATGGCCCGGCAGGGAGGGGTTCGTGGCCCACTGCCTGTCCACGGACTGGTGGTTGGGAACTGCCAAGTTAGCTGATCTTAAATTGCCATGGAGGTTGCAGTAGCTACACAACTGCATGCTGAGTAACTCTGAGGCTATGTCTATGCTTAAATGCCACAGCAGCACAGCTGCAGTGCTTTAGTGATGGGAGGTGTTCTACTTCATAGTAGTTAATCCAACTCCCCAAGACACCGTTGCTAGGTCAATGGAAGAATTCTTCTGCCAACCTAGCACCAGCTGCACCACAGGTTAGATTGGCTTAATGACGTCGTCCGGGGGTTTGGATTTTTCCGTGTAGATCAGCCCTAAATTAATTTTAGTTCCAACCTTTCATTTTACCTGCAGTGCTGTTCAGAAGTTTACTCAATTGTTAAACCAGTGGGTCTCGTTTAACTGTGCGACTTTTTTGCCAATTTCATTCTCAGTTTATGGCTAATTGTGAGATTTCAGATTTAATTAATTTGATTGATTATAGTTCAACAGCTGTAAACAAAAGTGGGTAACATCAGGTGAGAGACAAATAAGTGACTGGGGACATTTTGGAATGTTAGAGCTGCATAGAATTAAGGCTGAATTGCACAATAATTAATTGATTCAAGATAACTCCTGTTACCTGATTACGTCTTGCAAGGGATTGTCAATGTTACTTGCTCTCTCTTGTCACTTAATATCAAGTAATGGTGAGCCAGGTGTACATGCAAACTGACTCGAATGGGAATCGTCGGCTTCTTTTGTGTTTCTACTGCCACCTAAAACAAAATGATGATATGCCAAGTTATGATTTGTCTGACAGTAGCATCTGCAGGGTCCTACTGAGATTGAGCACATAGTAAAAGACAGTATCTGCCCCAAACCATTTACAGTCTCAATAATTGTTTGGCTTACTAGGAATTCATTTGTCTATAAAGCAGTTAAAAATATGCAGGCTTTCCTGTCCCAACACACTGCAGTATTCTTCTATAGCAATGGTCCAGAACTTGATAGCAGGGGGCTAATGGGGCGAATCCTGTGGTTATTCTGATCAGAGAGGCATTTTGTAGCATAATGACTTCTTTTAACAAGCAAAAAAGGGTTTTCTTCTGAAAATGGCAGGTTGCTGAACCATTCTTCTTTTGACCTGAGGTTTTTTCAAAGTTTACAATATCTCTCACTCTTCTTCTAGCAAGGACCCTTGTAGCGGGGTGACGGGTGCGAGCACCGCTCCCCTGCCCCTTTTCCCCAGAGGGCAGGGGGGGCTCCGCAAACCCTCCGCTTCGAGTCTGCCCTGTTAGTCCCTAGCCGGGTCTATACGTGGCGTGAAGGCTGGGTGCGATCACCCCCCTGCCCTAGGTGGCGGGGGGGGGAATCAGAGAACGTGGCCACGTCCTGCCCCTTGCCCCATGGGCTGGGGGGGGGGC